AGGGGAGGGGGGAGAAGAATGAGTCCTGCTAAGCCCTGGACTCCTCAATTATCCAAGCCAATACACAGTCCCTTTTGCTTAGGCCAGTTGGCATGTAGATGCTGCTAAACACCGCACAATGCACAGAGCAGCCCCCACAACTGCCAGACACGTACCATCTGGTATTTCAGGGTCATCTGGAAGCCTTTGCCTCTTGCAATCAGCAGAATCCTGACTGATACACCTCTCTGGCCTGTAGGACAGTCTACTCAAAGCTGAATTCAAAGTATAGCTGGAAATTTAAGTTCTGCTCTTAGAGCCAAAGATATCAAAGGCAAAGAAACGCCACATAGGAATGAGGCAGGGCTTACGTTTGGAAGCCGGGTTAAATTCCAGCACCACGAGGGTGTCTGGGTCCTGCAGAGGGTGTGCTGCTGTCTCCTGGTCCTCGGGAACATCCTTCTGCACGGAGTCCCCCCGGGAAAGAGGGGGGTCGTGCCTGGGATAGCCCACCAGTGCCTGGTCCTCAGGCTCGGGCTCAGAGAGCACGTCTTCTTCAATGGAGTCATACTCGTCACTGGAACAATCCTTTTGTTTCCTTTGTAGATTTACACTAAGCTCCAGGCTTTTTCTTAGCTCCTGCCAAAAGTCAAGAAAAGCGAGAAATGAAATATGTCACTTTGATAAAAACTCATTTGAAATAGATCATTAGAACCAGAGAACTATTCCTGCCAAAGTAACATTTACCAAAATCATCTCAACCCATGTGCTGTCTTCACTTTGAAGACGAGACAACAAAGGGCAGGGGCAAACGAGCAACTCTGAACAGAACAGTGTTTACAGTATTAACTGTGCTGTTCACATGCCTGGGACACACACTAAGAATGTGTGTGCATGTGCATGTGCACATGGATGTGATGTGTGTGCACGTGTGCACAGATGCATGCATGTGCATGCATGTGCACACACAGATATATGTGTGCATGTGAAATGTTTTGGTTGGGGCTTGTTAAAAAAGATTGCAAGGTCCCATCCATAGTTTCTGATCCAGTAGGTTCTGGACAGGACCTGAGAATTTGCATTTCTAACAAGGTGAGGCTGCTGCTGCTGGTCCAGTGACCATACTCTGAATATGAAATCCCAAAGGCTTCCAGATGATCCTGAAATTCCAGATGCTAAATGTCTGGCAGATAGTTGTGGGGGGCTGTCTTGTATACTGAAGGATGTTCGGAAGCACCTAAATGTCAGAATATTTAGCACTTAACTATAACTGCTTGACAATTTTTCATATGTTTCGTCTCCACACGATTGCAGATTTACAACCTTAAAGCCAAGAATTAAGAGAAGAGTGACCAGAAAATTTATCACCAAAGCCAGGATACTTTTGAGAAAGAACAGTACCACATTTACACTGGGACAAAGAGTGCAAAATAGACTACTTGGGCAGACCAGTATGGTTGGTCAGCCTCACTAGACTACCCTGTAGCCCTCATCATGTCTAACATAGTCATAAGAAAAGGAGAAACCATCAATAAAGGTTTGGTGGTTGACCAGTAAACTTAATAGTGGTGGTGGCAGGCTGAATGATGACCCCAACAAAGATGTCCAAATCCTAATCCCTGGCCCTGTGACCCAGTGAGGGCTCCTGAAGAAGTGAGAAGCACTGTCATCTTAGAGAAATCATCCTAAAAAGACCAATGATGGATGTGGACATTAAAGGTGCTGCTGGTGAGGGAATGAGGAACATGTCATTGGGACCTAGAGGAGAGGGAATCCCGTTACCCAGTGGCAAAATCATGGCTGAACTGGGTCTACAGTTACGCGGTAAGTGAAACTCTGTAAATGATGTACTTGGATATGTAGCTGAAGAGATTTCCAAGCAAAGTGTTGAAGATACAGTCTGGTTTCTTCTTGCTGCTTAGAAAAAATGTGAGAGGAAAGAAACAGACTGAGGGAAAAACTGTTGAGTAAAAAGGAACTGGGGTTTGATGATTTGGGAAACTCTCAGTCTATCCAGGTTGCAAAGGACATTAAATTAGGAGATTCCCTGTCAGAAAGCACACCCTGGAGAGAAAATCAAGGGTGTGATTGAACAACCTTTTGCTAGATTGCAGAGCATCCAAAGTTTAGAGCATTCAATCACACCGAGGGCTCTTTGAGGAGATTAGATATGTGGCTCATGGATCCCCCTAGACATCTCAGCAGGAGCCAGAAATAGAGATGGGATCAGCCAGGCAAGATTTATAAAGAAACTTCTTATCTAATGGAATGAATTCTAGAGACATACAGAGGAGACCCACATGTTTTTCGCAGAAACACTGCCAGCTAGCATTGAATGAGAGAAAGGAGAAAATAAAAGAAGGCTGTCAGACTCCCAAACTTCTACAGGCAGGAAGCAGGCAGATAAAACTACTTAGCTGCAAGCACACTGTACCCTTCCTGGGAGAAGGGTGACGGCGCCAGGAGTGCAGCCCTGGGCCCAGAGGGCGGATCCCGGAGCAGCAGAGAATTATTGTTGGGCCTTGAAACCTAATGGCGTCGGCCCCGTGGGTTTCAAAATTGCTTGGGTTTGGTGACATTTTTTCTCTTTTCCTTTCTCTCTGTTGTAATGGCAATTTCCTGGGCCTGACCCACCACTGTATTTCAGAGCAGAAAACTGCTTTCTAGTTTCACAAGCACGCAGGTGGAGAGGAATTTTGCCCTAATATGGATTATACCCAGAGTCTCACCCGTACCTAATTGAGATGATAAACATGATGAGATTTGGGAACTTTGAGCAGATGAGACTTAGACATATTTTGGACTGGAGTTGACGCTATTGTGGGTTGAGACTTCTGGAAAACTTGGGATGAGATTAATGTATTTCATATGTAGGACAGAAATAAATATTTAGGGGCCAGAAGGAAGACTGTTTGTTGTAGGCTGAATAAATGGCCCCCAAATATGTCCACGTTCCAATCCCTGAGACCTGTGAATGTTACTTTACATGGCAAAGGGACTTTGCAGATGCAGTTAAATTACGGATCTTGAGATGGGGGAGATTATCCTGGGCTATCCAGATAGGCCTAATGTAGTCACAGGGTCTTTGTAAAAGGGAGGCAAGAAGATTAGAGTCAGAAAGAGAAGCTATAAGGATGGAACAGGGGTCAGGTAGGAGAAAAGACGTTACACTGCTGGCTTGGAAGGAGAAAAGGGATTCTCCTCTAAAGCTTCCAGAAGGAGCACAGGCCTGCTGACGTCTTGACTTTAGACTAGTGAAACTAAATTTGGCTTTCTGACCCCCAGAACTGTAAGATAAGCCACTAAGTTTGTGGTAAGTTGTGACAACAGCAATAGGAAAACTAACAGAGCTGTCCATCTTTTACACTCCCTCCCTCCCATCCTGCCCAGTACCAAGTATCTGTGATAATTATTTGAGCAAACAGAACACTGCCTGCCATATAGTAGGTGCTTGACAAACATTTTCTAAATGACTATTTTATGTCAGTGACTGGGCAGTGGCTGTGAGAAGGGGTGGAGAGCACCCACATGCCCTGGAGGTGGCATTAGTGATGTGACCCTTAACAAGTTACTAACTCCTTCGATCTGCATTTTAACATCCATAAAAATGGGCCTCACAGAATGGTTTTATTAAAGCAGTCATCTGAACTGGGGATCATTTGGCAACCCAGAGGATTTCTGACAATGACTGGGAATGTTTCTGGCCAAAACAGGGGAAAGGGAGTGCCAGTGGCATCTAGTAGGTAGAGGCCAGAGATGCTGCTAAACATCCTAGACTGTACAGGACAGTCCCCCACAACAAAGAACTCTCTGGTCCAATGTAAAGTGGTGAGGTTGAAAGCCCTGCACTAAAGCGAGCATGCACCATCAACAGCATTTAAAAAGATAACAAGACCCTCTAGCTGAGTGTACTAAGGTGGCCCGTGCAACCTTCCGGAAGCCAGACTCAGGTCATGGCTCATGTCTTCAAAGTCTGACTGTGGTGGGCAGTTGGAGCTCAACAGATTTCCTGCCCCTCCAGAGGGAAACCTGAGTTCCTGGGTGGCCTGCTGTTTAATAGCAGTTTCAGTGACTGTAAAACTAGTATCCTTTACAGTGGAATAACGCTCTGTGCTTTACAAAACATTTTCAACTCCTTCTCTCATTTGATCCTCACAGTAACCCTGAAAGATAGGTAGGCAGAGTAAAACCCTGTGGTAGGTAACATGAACCCCGGTTAAAGCAGGATGGGCAGCTGGCTCCTGTCCTTCGCCCAAACCCCAGTCTCAAATGGGGTCAGCTTCAGTTCTATGTTCTGCAGGGGTGGAGGCAAGACTAGGTGAGACAATGCGGGGCAAACCCCTCTCCGGAGCCCCAATATTCTTGCCCAGTCACTGCGGAACAAAACAATAACATGGGTGCCAGCTAGCTGGGATGTTCCGAGCTGGGAGGCTGCTGTCACTGCCCAGGAAATCCCAGTCAGTCCCAGGGCACGCAGTCATCGCCACTGATGTCTAAGGTAGAGCAGGGCCACCAACCACAGCGGCTCCAGGAAGGATTTAGATGGGACATTAGGATTCTCGAACTCATGGCCAGCCTCTTCATTACCTTCACAATGTTGCAACCCCACATTTTAAGTGACTGAACTTTTGAAGTCCCCTCAAAATTGGAGAACTGGAGGCCTAGAGCCTTTAAGCTGGTCCCACTTGTTAGAATGGTCCCA